TTACGTGGGTTTTACAATCCGAAACGATTCTGAAGCCTAATACTTTGTACTTCTATTATTATTTTTTTTTTTTAATTTTCTTGTGAATTTCAAAATATAAATTGCGTTTTTGTACTAGATAAGAACTACTATGGAAGACTATTCAAGAAACTATTTATTCCAGCGACACCATGTGTGATTTTTGGAATATTACGTTTCAGTGCTTCTACCTAAGCACACAATTTATTGCTATAAGTTTGTAGTATCTATGTGCATAATATATGGCATTAGAAACATCTTTTTATTCATTACGGTAATACATGTATTAGCAGTTCGTTATATAATAAACTTAAAGTTATAACAAATTAATAACCAAAGATTATTAAAATTAAATTAAACCGAAAATTACTATAAAGAGCTTTGATCGCCGAATGACCAACCTATTTACACTGGTCATAAAAAATTAGGATAATGAGGAAAAATATGATCACTAAGTTATTGTTGCAATCAAATATACAATGAAATAATTATTTATGTTAATTAAGTACTAAATGAACACTGAATTGTACTTCCGCGCAAATGTTAGCGCCGCAAATATGCAATTTCGGTGATCGGCAATGTGTTGGGCAATGGACGCATGTTGGAATTCCGATCTGTTGGGTGATTTAATGTGAATGTGGTTTCTGAGAGCGATGCATATTCAATAGTTATGTTTCAAAGATATCATTTATGTGAAGGTCAAAAGCGGCCAATAATTGGTAGAATTAGGGAGATTAAACACAAATGGAGATCATCCAAGATTTGAATATCCCTCCAAGTGTCATATAAGGAGTTTGCAGTCTGCAGTAGTTTGGTAAGACTACGCCGCATTTTAAGTATTCGATCAGTTGATAGGCAGCCTGGTCAAAGGCGACAAAGAGCAACAACTGCATCAGAAGACCGTCTTCTGTCGTTGTCGGCTTGAAGAAACCCCGAAACGACTACAACAAATTTGGTTTTAGACCCTCAGGCTGCCACTTGAACTCGAATTAACCTTTCTACTGCTGTAGCGAGTCTGGACTGTATGCGACGAAACAAACTGTTTGCGTCCCGAGCACTCCTGCTTCCAGATGAGCCAGTTTAAACTGGTGCCGTCGTCATGTTCAACGGAACCAAGATTACTGGGCCCGAGTATTGTTTACTGACGAGTATTATTATTGACATTGCCTCATTTGCGAGCAAATAGTTTCCAAGTGCCCGGTACGATTATTGGTCTTCCGTTTTGGGATGCTCATTATGTTCTTTTAGAGTAATAACTTTAAAAGAACTATAGCTGAAGAATTAAAGGGAGAAGGGTGAATATTAGAACAAAGAATAGAACGAAATTTTGAAATAAGTATGGGAACAGAAACAAAGAATAGTCAAATACTTTCTGATCCGTATTAGCTATAATGTTCTACAAAACAAAAATAAAGTAGAGATAAGAAATCAAAGCCGGGAAGATTTCCCAGGCTATAATCTGAAAATAAACATAAGGTTTCGCACTGTCCATTCCAATCCCCGTATTTGATTTCATCGGACCAAAACGAGCGTACAGATGTGAAAGAAGACAACATTGATCTTCTCTTAAGGTACATATATTTCGGTCAAATTAAGGAATTCTTCGCTAACACTTCAGAAATTCACACTTACGAAATTTATCTACCACCTCCTAATTCTTCACTTTCAACTGCGGATCCGGAATACAGCAAATATGGGGATTTAAATGCTACATAAAAAGGGAAGCAAAACGATAAACACTTTAGAGATATATAGTAGTAATGATACGATAATAAATAAATATGCATAATTATTAAAAATTAGTTAACAATAATAAATAAATCGATACTGCGATTTGTGCTCATGGCTGCTGTATCTTTCGGCCCATGTTCGAATCTCGGAAACGGCAAGAATATTTGTAAGTATATAGTGTGGGCGCGAAAGGACGGCACATAAAATTTATTAGTTGTATATTTGTAGTAAATAATGCATTAAATAATTCATAAGCATCGGGGGTAATGCACAATTAACTAATAACTACTAAATAACATGAGAAGACATGCACAATTTATCAAGTCCTCTCATGTTATTTAGTAGAAAAGAAAGAGACCCTCGCGGTGTCCCTTGGTCTTCCCAACCAAATGAAGCGGAGCTTAACAGCTAGTTTGGCAAGACTGCACCTGTACGACTGAAATCCTACTGCTGCCCCATTTATATCTATCTGCATCTGAAAAATAAATATATATAACAGTATTTATAAAAAAACAATCTTTTTACGACCCAGGAAAATGTCTCTCCCGACTCAATTACCCAAATTTTGGGAACCGTTTAACTAAAGAGCACAAAAAAGACATAATAGCTTTTTATTCCTCAGCCAATTAAAAACTTTTATATTTATTATTTTCGATGCATTTCATGTATCAAAAGCCCGAAGTCCAACAACTTGGTTAAACGAGTAGCCATTGCTGGCCCAAAGCATGAAATGCACAGTAATTTATGAATCTGTTGAGGAATCTCTAGTAACTTTTAATGAATGCACGAAATATCCCTATTTAATAATCTAAATATGAATAATTCACACATTTTATGGAAAAGCTGTCAAATAAATGAATTCTATTCACGGAGTTCCAGAGTTCTAGAAACGAAAGGGACATTCTTTTGTTGAACGATAAATGCTGTTCAGGTAATTGGAACAGAAGTTTTACAAACGCCTTAATGGAATAACATTATTTATTCTTATTCGGAATTCTGATTAGTTGCAATGTAAAATATTCCAAACACTTCTTTATTCTGAAAAGTCCTGTCTCCTTTTTTCTTCTCATGTTTACAATAATGGTGTACTTGATTCGGTCTACAAAACGTAGATAATTATTCCAATTAACAAATTTAAAAAAAAATTATATTATTCTCAGATTCCTTAAAAAGCAACAGTATAAGCATTACTATTGTCCTCGTTTGCCATTTTGCATCTGTTTTTGTCTTCTTGACTGGCAAAGTCCAAAATCATTAAAGTCGTCAAGCGTAAACATAAATAAATTGGTTTTACATCTTTTATATGAATTGTAAATTAAGTGCATATTTAATACAATGATAAATCTTATAATTAATTTGGATTGATACATATTCGAATTTAAAATCAAATAAGATTTTTAAGTCTCACCGGGTGGTTTTTACAGACTTAAAAATTATAATGTAAACTAAAACGATTTCTGCTTTCACAAAATTTACAAACTGAGTTGGCTTACCCTGTTAAATATGTTTAAATCGATGTGAGGACACTTGAGTCGGATATATTATAGCAAATTTCTTAGAGCAACTTAAGCAACTGATTCTCTATTTTTCGCTTCACAATTACCACAAGAGAGTTGACACAGGCGATTCGGCAGCGATGTGATGCAAGGCTCCAGTACTCTACTGAATATCTCATTTTTAAATCTTGTCGTTCAATTTGCATTAACTTTATGGTCTGAACAAGTACTTGCAGCAAGAACTTGTTACGTGAGTTGAACATTATCCTGCTCTTTTGAACAGGATAGTGTTCAACTCAAAAGTAACTCTTAGTCAAACAAAAAATTAATCGTCACAACGTTTCTACAAGAAATGGACAAACTTCATGTGTGTAGGAACAGTATGTTAGAATCTTGGGAACTGAAGAGCCGCAGTAGATATTAAAAGGTTCTAAACGTTTTCTGAATAGCAAGAAATATTTCAAGTAATCAACATTTTATAATTAAAGTGATTATTTGGTATAAATATGAATAAATAATTCTTGTTTTAGTTACACGACATTTAGAAACGTATGTTTTTATGATGCATGGATTATAAAATTTCCTATATTTTGTTTCATGTAAGGGAAAATTTCTCAGATCCCCCCGCTCTTTTCTTTTATTTTGGGTCTAAATACAATCAGAAGCTGATACTAATCTTTAACTGAAAAAAAAAAGAACCGTGAAAAGCTTTCAGCTGTAAACTGAAAAGAAAGAGGACATCTTTGAATGAAAAGCTCTTTGCGTTACTATAAGATAAAAAGATTTTCCTTCGAATGAATAACGTGTTAATTTGAAAAGTGAAAGCAAAGATTTTGTTTACTTGTAACTCTATAACCAAATTCTTTGTCTCCTGATTCTTAGAGAGAAGTTTTCTCCCCAATTCCATGCCTTTCCCTAACACTTATTTTTCTTTGACAGCAGCCAATTAAAGATCTTCCTTTTCAAAATGTTCTCGCCAAGTTACCATCCACTAATAACGAGCTCAGAATCTGTATGCCAAATGAAACTTTCCACCCCATTCAATATTATAAATCTTAAGGATTGCAAGCACATTGTACGACTGCTGTTACTTTTTAATTAAAAAAAAAAGTGTCTAACAATCAAGCGCCAGTGAAGTTTTCCACATATTTATAGTAAATTTAATTTTTTTATTCCTGGTTTATAATTTTATGTTTTACAGAACAATTAATTTATTTTATTACATACTAAATAAAATTTTGGTTTTATTTTGAAGTTTTTTATTTTAGAAGATTAATTTTTTATGTTTAAAATTTTTTTTTTTTTTTTTTTTTTTTTTGCGTATTTTTCGGTTCAAGTATTTCGACTGGCATTTGGTTTTATTTCAAGTTTTACCCTGCATTCAAGTTTTACCACTTTTGTCTTTCAAATAGACGAGAGGGACAAAACACGATCAGATCTCAAACATGGTTATTTGTATGTAATTCCATGCGTAATGTGTACACGAGCCAGTGTCCCTTATAAAGTCCTCCCCGAAGAGATGCATCCCCTTAGGCAGATAGTCTTCGAATGTTTTGCCATAATCAAATAAACCAAACCAAACATCCATACATAAATATAGTATATGTACACTTACATAAAGTCACACAGATATGATAAACATATATATATAGCTATATATCTTTATCATATCTGTCTAAGTGTGTGAGTGTTATACTTTCACACACACACACACACACACACACTATATATATATTACAAATAGAATTACTGTACCTCTGATACTGTGCCGCAGTTCTCTCCTTTCAAAGGAATTGGCAGTGAGAATTCTAGGCTGTTGCTAACGTCAGTAGAGCACGTGAGAGGCTTTCCTTTGGCATACAATTTGCCCTTGAACAGAGCGTTGGTGCGGACTTGAGCCAACATCAGATCTTGTCGACAGTCCACAGAAACTAAGGAGACAAAAATAATAGAATCAAATAATGTTGTTTTGATGCCAGAAACGTAAAATGATTGGAACGCTACCAAGGTATCATAACGTAAAATGATTAAGCTACGCTACCAAGCTCATTCCATCCATTGCTTTTCGCAAGTGTAGTCGCGACAGCAACATTACACTGCTCTATTTTGGTGAGTGTATTTTAACAATTTAGCTAAGCTAAGGGCAGTGTTACACTAATGAGTTTAAAAGAATGAACACATTAACTATTCGGCTTAGTGACCTACAGCATTGTTAGGCAACGTGCCCTTCAAGACCCCACCAGTGGTCGATCGAGCCGTTTATTCTGCATGGATTCGAAACTTAAGTGAACGTGCTGGCTGTTTGGTTGGTTTTGGTGATTTTCGTCAAGTGCAATGTGAGCCATTTTGCCTCAAAAAGTCCTTAGCGAAGGCATACCTTCCCTTAGGCATACGTCAAGACTGCATTGTTTCTAACGCAATAGATCACGTACCTAAGTAGAAAATACTTTTTCTTATTACAATTATTCATTCTAATGAAGTATCGGACGACCTCTAACAGAAAATGTCAATTGCCGCTAACCATTTATTCTCCAAATCATCTGTCATCTTCTTACAATGAAGTGTTTCTGACAGTCGAGCGCTTTTCTTTACCGATTTTGATTGACAGGAAAGGACGTTATATTCAAATGATAAAATTAATAGATTATTTTCTCTTTATCGAGCAGTTTCTCACTTTTGACTCGTCTAGGATAGACAGGATGCAAGAAACAAATAAAATTCTCATAGTCACGGAATAGTTCCCTCCCGATTCTTAGTCGATCACCAAGATGGTGTTCCATTCTTCTATAGATCAAAGTCAATTGTGTTTCATGTTCTGCAGAATTTCACAAGGAAGCATCTTTGACAGGCAATTAATTACATAAAAATAGGGTTACAGGTTTGTGTGATAAAGTACTTTCTTGTGAAGTAGTGAATAAGAGAAAACAAAGTGCACAAAGCTTCGGTTAACATTTGCGTACGCACCACCTTTTCCTTAATCTCTGCGCAGTAAATACGTGAGATTAACGCGCACATGGTTGATCAAAATGCGAATTTATCTTTTGTATAAATACAAAACGTTTTAGGTAAAATACCAATCCAAACCAAGCACATAATATATGGTTGATAGAACATCCTCTATTGGTTCCAATAAAACTGCAATTTTTTATAAAAATGGTGAGTTGGATAGATAATAAATACAGTGCGTTTTAAATTATGTCCACAAGATGTATTGTTAAACTTGTATTAATTATTTAAAGTAAATTAGAAGTTTATTTATTGCTTTTAAATCAAATTTTAATGGTATACTCAGTTTGTTAAGCAGTTATAATCTCAAGGGTAAATTTTGACAAATTGTGATAAATCCACGATAGGGTAGTAAAGGAGCTCAAAAATTTCATATCAGATAGCAAATCTTATGTTCGAAAACAGGAAACAATTAAATCACTTTTTTCCCAGCTTTTGGGCTACAAACCGCAAGTTCCAATTTGCTTCTGTCAAAATCACGCAACATATATAATTATTGTTGATGAATTATATTTTTCTTCGTCTATAATAATTCGTCTACTATTATAAACAACTCCAATTCTAGCTTGTTTTGCCCGTCTATCAATCTTTCTGATTCCATTTTCTTTGTCTAGGTGGCACTACTTGCTTTGTATCTTTTCTTCATTTTCTTTTTCACGCTTCTTATAAAGACTTTCATGATTAGCTATTAAAGGATTCTGAGAAATTTGTTAATTTCTTTAATAAGTGGCAGGTGTAAATGATGATAAAGTTGAACCGCTTCGCTCTCAAAATACAATCTATGTTCTTTGATTAATTTCCCATTTCCTTTATCTTGTAAATTCATCGTAACAATCCAAAATGTCTGGAAAGACTTCACTAGCGACTATTCTAATATAAAGATGAAAAATTGTTTTTAAAAAATGAAAAAGATAAAAGTAGTCTGCTAGTTCCAAACTACATGTTATCAATTTTGCTGCAGATGGAAATGAAGATGTTACATATGAAATGGATAATAACAATGTTAATGACGAAATGTAAGACAATTATATTTACCCAGTTTTGCCCCAAGCAGAGAGAGCCTCCAAAAAGTGTTTTCAAATATCGATATTGAGAAATTTGAGTCGTCTACATTAAAACCATATAAACTAAATACTTTTCAGTCATTTAAGATAAAAGTTTTTTAACTGAGTTATTTGTAAATCATTTTGTACTGGTGCGCAAACTTTTGGTACTGGCTTCGGTATTGGTTTTGTACTGGCTTCGCAAGTGTTATCGCTGCGACGCAAGACACTGGTAGTTAATAAACTTGTAATCTCGTAATTAAAAGCTTTTATTTATTAAAAGCTTTTCTTATGATGTTTGACTGCGGGTGGAATTTCGCCATTGATTTTTAACCTACTTCCTGACAAACTATAGAGTTCAAAAATTGTGCAATCAATATTTATCCAGGGCAATACGATGTGAAATAATATTTTTCAAAATTCGACTTAGATTTTTTTAATTGTACATATAAACAATTTTTCGTACATATTTTCATCTTACGAACAAATTAAACGTATCAGAATTTTACTGTTTCCACCACTGAATACAGCTTCAAAAAAATCGTAATGTAACTTGTATCAAAATTGTACCTTATTTTCTCAATTTGTGGCAATTTTTTGAAAATCGCTTAATTATTTTAAACTATTTGACGTTTATAATTTTAAAATTTTAACATCTAATAACCTATAGGATATGAAGTTTTAAAATTTTCACAGATTATAAGACAAAATTTTCGCCCTCAAATATATTAATTGAGATATTTTTATAGGTTTTTAATAAAATGTGTCGCAGTATGAAGCAAACGGAGAAAAAAGCATTTTGATTTTACCATCTTGAAGCACTTAATAACGTACTTTCATTTCAGTTTGAAGTCAAATGCAGGTTGCAACATTAAATTTAAACGCAGAAGTTCAGCTACAAAAACCGTGCATAAATCTCGAATTCTACGTCGAAAATGCTCGAATTCAAGACCATTTCTGAAAACAACAAATGTGAAACCAACTTGGCTATCAATTTTACTGTTATCAGTAGAGCAAGTTACAGGGAATTCATCTGCGATTTTGCTAAATTGAATAACATTAGGAGCATTTCTTTATGAGGGATGGTGAAAAACAGATGGAGGCAAAACACGACCATAATTAGAGACACAAGCAAAGAGATTTTTCCTAAAGGTAATGTTATGAAGAATGACAACGTCAACTGGACGAAAACCACAAATTGCATAAACAAACAAGGTACGCCATCATCAAATGACCTGCAGATGTATCTGCCTTTGAATGCTTTGCATACATTTATAATTTAACTTCATTTTAACCGTCATTCCTCAAATTTTAGAGCCAATATATTATGAAAGATTCAGTTCCTTGCTTATAGATAATAGAAAGGGCATTGAATTAATACCATAAGTGTTGCATGTAAATACACTCTGTAATTAATCACATATCTCTAATAAGTAAGCTAAATGTAGCTTCCAGAAAATTTACAGTCAAGGAAAACCCCAAGATATTTATTTGCTTTACCAATGCCAATGGAGTTCAGTCGAAAAATTGCTGAATTGCATCATAACAAACGTTTCGCTTTTCAATAATCATGACTCTGGTTTTTATCAAGATTTAAAGTCCAATTAAAAACCTTTTGACAAATTGGAGGCGTGGATTGATGTCTCCTGCACGTGCCAAAAAGTAACAGGAAGATTCCGACTCTGGAAGCACACCAAGATATCATCCGCAACGGCTTAGAATCACGACAGGCAAGCTTTGAAAGGAGATCATCAATAATAATATTCCAAAAATTAGGTTAAAAATTGCCTTCAGGGCAATCTCTTTCAAGGGAACGGATTGCAAAAGCTGAGCCCAGTTGCGATTTGGCGTCCTAAAATATAACAAGTCAGCAGCAAGTGTAAAAAATTGACATTGAAAGTTCCACTTTTTACACAATGTTGAGAACACAAGGCCACGACGCATTGTCGAAGGTGCCTTTTATATTAAGAAAAAAATAGTGCGCAAATGTTACTTTTCAGCTCTCTGAACAATCAGTTTTATTCAAGCGTAAAAAAGCATCTTCAGTACTCTTCTCTAAAGTCTTTAACCTTACTGATCACTAAAAAGAAATTTTTCTCCGCGTATATACCAGCAAATTATGTTAACAAAAAGTTTTTAAGCACTTTCCTAAAGCAGGAAGTAATCTTATACATTTAAGGTTATCCAAATAAGGAACAGTAAACTCATTTTAAAGAAATTGATAAGAAATAAATATTACTCCTGTTTCCAGACACGCAGAAAAATACTAACATCCAGACAAACATTAAAAAGTTTATGGAGAAAAGAAGGAACCATAAAGTGAAACTGTTTAATAATCTCATTTGATATAGAAACAGGATATTTGGTTCCAGCATAGAAATAACTATATTAACATCAGAAAATAGACAAAAGAAAGATAAATAACACGGCGGAGACCGACGGTACTCCTGATGCAAGTGATTATCCTTTTCCTCTAGATAAGAAGAGAATAATTTCTGAAACCCAGCATTTATCGTCTCGTCTAGAGAGATCGTTGCCTTTCCCGCAGGTAAACGTATATCAGCTATTTCAATTTTTTTTCATGAATTCTCTTCCAAAACCATATGTCTAAATTTTTCTCCATGTACTGTGAACATTAATGGTGGAAAGAAGTATTTTCCAGGAGTAAGATTTAGCGTCAGTAAACATTTGATTATGTACTTTTCTATATTCAAGATATTTGCATTTATATAATTCTCTAAAAGTCGAATTTCTACAACGTTGAAATCTACGCCTAGAGGCACTAAGCCTCTTTCTCATGCAACCAATTTCAATAGACCACCAAGGAACAATATGCACACCATGATTCTTTAACAGGCACTGGAAGTTAGGATGCCTGGAGA